GAATATGCCGCCGATATGAATTTTTTTTTTACAGAACATATAACGCAGATAAAATGCTTGAAATTGTGTAATTACTTAGTTTGTCCATTGTTTGCTACTGGCGACCTGGATGAAACGCTTTAAAGCTTAAGTCTATGGAAAACCATTGAACGGCCATATCTCCGTAATGGCGCGGAGAATCCACACCGAATTCGGGGGATTCCTTCAGCTCGAGGAACCCTCTCGAACGCGAATCGGGTGTACGTCTAGAAGCCCGCTTTTGAATGAGACCAGCCCCCGGGGTCCGGGAGTTACAGGTGGTTACATTCGCGGTCCGGCGCCGAACGATCAAGCGATCCCGGGGGGCTACCGACGCGCGGAGGGTGGCGTTTGAGAGGACTCCTCGAGCTGAAGGGATCCCCCGAATTTGGTGGTGACCCTCCGGCGCGTTCGCGAGATAGTGACACCAGTCAACACATTCACTACAGTAAGGAGGTCTCTTGTTCAGGCAGCAGCATTCAGGCGTTGTCTTATTCGACCGTAAGTGCCCTGCGAAGTGGACTTCACATGAAATTCCACCATGATTCCAGTTCCAAGGGAACGTACGCGTTACATTCAAAGGGCATTAAAGTGCGCGAAACGTGAATTTATATTTAGGGATGCACCGAATGTTCGGCAACCGAACCGAATAGCGAAAAGACCGAATAAATTGTACCGAACAATGATATGACGCGATCAAATAGCGACCAGCGCAGAGTGAGAGGCAAGCACTCTTTATTATGCAGCACACACGTCAGCAGTGTGAAAGCATTTAAACTGTCGGAGAAAGACGCAAAAATCATTACAAGCACCGACAGAGAGAGACTGTTTAGGACTGCATCGCATGTCTTCGATGAGAAGAGGAAGGGGTGATTGTTGCTGGTTACTGTACGATGATTGAAATCTCGATTAAACAATTAGTAAATAATCTGCAGAACGTTATGTTTTCTAATACACGCGCGCATTGCATGTATTCTGACTAATACCAGTCAATTGATACTTTTGACTGGTATTGTACTATAATATACACAAAGAATATCGGCCGATATATCGATATCGACCTTTTTTTTACTCCCTAATATCGGTATCGGCCCCAAAAAACCCATATCAGTCGGGCTCTACTTATTTTAGTACAGCACAAGAAAACTTCTGATATCTAAAATGTGAAATAACAGTGCCATATAACCAAGCTTATCTCAAATAAGTGCACTGTGCTCTGTCACTAATGCCACAGCAAATGCTGATTGCTACCAATTCTACTACCAAAAAAATGATTTTTCTTGATGTTGCAACAATGTGCTGTCCTTAATGCTCTCTGTATGATGCACAATTAATGTAAATAGTTATATATACAGAGGGGATCAAACATCTGATGTTAAAACAGATCTGTGCAGTGTGAATGCAGTCTCTTACACATATCACTGTCTATAATGTCAATAATAACAATAATCATTACCACTATAACAACACTAATTTACTTTTTAAAGTTATATTTATGGGATTTTGAATGCCTTTAATGTGATAGGACAGTAAAGAGGTGACAGGAAAGCATTGGTCGGAGAGAGGGGCAAAGGATCACAAGATGGGAATCGAACTCTGTTCGCCACAAGCGCAGTGGTCGGCGCACTAACCACAAGGCTATTGGCACCGGCACTTATTTGAAGGCAGGTTTACTTATTGTAATGTTGCTTGTATGTGAAGCTTTATTTAGTTAGTTGAAATGACTTTCATGATTAATCTGGAATTTAAAAAAAAAAAAAAAATGTATGATTACATTTTAAAATTAAATGTTGGCATTGAAAACTCCAGGAAAAAAATGGATAGACAAGACAAATTGATGAACTGAAATTTGTTTTTGTAACCAAATTGTTATCCTTTAAATCATAAAAAAATGGAATCGCATTGCAAGACCTTTACAAGTCATAGCATCAACTTGAGCCAGAAGTACCAATACTTTTTTTTTTAAAGATTTTATTTTTGGCGTTTTTATGCCTTTATTTTGGATAGGATAGTAAGTTGACAAGAAGTGAAGTGGGAGTGAGAGTGAGAGAGGGGGGGAAGGGATCAGGAAAGGTGTGCGAGCCGGAACTCAAACTCAGGACACCCGGAGCACAGCGGCGCTACATGTCGGCGCGCTGCCCACGAGCCACAAGGCTATCAGCACCCAAAGAAATACCAGTACTTTTTGACATCCCTAGACACACTCATACAGTATGTACAGTTACAAACACACTTATTCATAAAAAGAAACAACAACTACCAGATTGCTAGGACTCACCTTTTGACCATCTGTGGGTTGTACAGGTAAATCTTCATAAAGATTTTTTCCTTCATATGGTATCCATAGAAAGGCCTAAGGAGAGATAAGATGGTCAGATCTATGTACAAATGTTTTAACAGAAGAGAGAAATCAAATTTGTGTCTTTGCACTAGGGGTAGCACAGACGAGCTGATTAATTCTGGCACCAAACAACATTTTTTAACTAGCTGTGGGTAGTGTGATTTCATGTTCTATACAACAGTTGTAGGACTCTGCAATTACATAGTATGAATGCATGTGCAGAGCTCTGTATTTGGAATTCTTATTAATACAAGCAATCATAAAGCAAATAAATAAATGACTAAATGAATAAGAGAACACTTAAAATCACAGTATAACACCAAGTCAATTAAACAATCAGGGATATTATTCTGTCCGATTACAAAGCATTAGTGACTGAATCAGTTTCACCTGCTTTGGTGCAAATGAATGTAACCACAGGTGAACTGGAGAGGCAACAGCAAGAAAACCCCTAAAAGGGGAATGGTAACTAATGATAACCCACTCTCATTTCAATCTCCAATTCTCCTTCTCACTACCCAGTTTCCCTTTTGTTTAACTGTCCTGTCTTAATAAAAAGGCAAATACTATGATGCACTTCATCACATATTTTGGGTGCTGCTGTAGTGCTAGGTGATATACCATTATTTTTCAAATACTGCCATAATAGTGTCTAAGTGAAACAAAAGCTTTATCTATTTAAAAATCACAAAGAGTGCTAAATAGAGTGTATTGAGAGGGGAGCTTTATTAACTGCACAACACAACACTGCCCTACTTGCCCATACAAACAAGCCATGGCTGCTTAATTTTAAGATTCAAATCCGATCAATCTACCTTTTATGTAACTGACTTAAAGACCAGTCTTAAAGGAGGAAAAAAAAGAGATGATTGACTTAAGACAGGTCTAAGCAGTCGCTTCTAACTTCTTCCATTCAAGAATTATGGAGGCCAATGAGTTATTTGGAACCTTCAGTATATCAGTTTTTTTTGTAGCCTTCCCCAGATCTGTGCCTCGACAATCCTTTTTCTGAGCTCTGAAGAAGTTATTTTGACCTTTAGCCTAATTTTTGATCTGATATGCATTTTCAGATGTTAGAACTTGCATAGAAAGGTTTATCCTTCCAAATCAAGTCCTATCAATTAAATTTGCTCAGTGTGTAGAAACAAAGATGATCCAAAGAAATGAAGCACCAGAGCTAAATTTTCAAATGTCACAGCAAAGGGTCTGAATACTATCATTGTGATTTACGTTTTTTTTTTTCCTTTTCAATAAACTTAATGCAAAACCAGATTTAACTTTGCATTATGGAAAGTATAGACTGTGGGGGAAAACAGCATAGAATAAGGCTGCAACAATATGTGAAAAAATTAAAGGGTCTGAATACAGCCTGCATTGAATTTAAACATGTCAACATGTTGTTGTTAAAATGTGCTCTAGAAATAAATGTGTTCGACTGTTCAACTTGAATCAAGCAATACCTTAAAAACACAATTAAACAATGGCGATAGAATTGTTGCTTAATTCCAAATAAATAGATTATGATCAACAAATAAATAGAATGAGATCCACAAATAAATCTTAAAGTTTCACAAACATTAATTAAATTCACAAATAAATAAAATGAGATTTGCAAATGAAAAACATTCACAAATATGTCACAACCACAACTTTGCCTGGCATTTATTTGTGAATTGCGTCCTGTGCAATTGTAGATAACTTCAGGCATTTGTGAATTGCCCAAATAAATAGATTATGATCAACAAATAAATGTAAAGAGATTAACAAAAATTAAACAGACAAATAAATAGAATGAGATCCACAAATAAATCTTAAAGTTTCACAAGCATGAATTAAATTCACAAATAAATAAAATGAGATTTGCAAATGAAAAACATTCACAAATATGTCACAACCACAACTTTGCCTGGCATTTATTTGTGAATTGCGTCCTGTGCAATTGTAGATAACTTCAGGCATTTGTGAATTGCGTCCTGTGCATTTGTAGATAGCTGCTATGCATTCCCGAATTGTGAAACATTTCCTCCGTCAAGACGTGCTGACAATCCACAAATACGTGGACTCCACCCACCGTCT